CGCCATAATACCCATCATTATGTCGGCCACAGTATAGATAAGAGCGATTTTCTTTTGTCGGTTATATTTTCAAAACCTGGCTGCTCTCGTGTTGCAGTAAAGAACTATGCTTTTTAAATTCCCTTAACATTCGTCGGAGATGCCTAATAACAACTGGATTCTCCCACGCTTGTGACCGACTTGTATTATCTACATCGAAACGTCGTATCTATTGCAATAAAGGACGTGTCAGTCTAATAAATAAATCTGTTCCGATTCAAAAAGTATCTTTCCGTAAAAGATATTTATGCACATGCTCTGGAGTACATAAGCGAGAGATTCACAACTGAATTATCGAACCGAGTTAATTGTTGTACAGCTGGGTACAGAGGCAGGGAAACAACAACTAACACCTTTTACTATCTCCTGGTACACGATCTATTCCCTAAACCACTGAGGCGTGCTGCACCATAGGACAGTACTCGATCAAATCTTATTCCTACTGTTCCCGATGAAGCACTGCTACTGTCTTAGAAAAGTCAAATAACACATCAGCGTGCGTATATGCTTAACGCTTCGCGCAAACGGCACTTCAACTTTCAACAAATACACATTCTTGTCCATACATTGTGGAAGTTTGAAGTCACCGCACTGAAGCGGAAGCATTTCTGAAAACATCTGAAATGGGGGTTAAGGTTTTGTTCCGATTTTGTTCTTTTTCGCCAGAAATTTTTTCACTTGAATATTTACGAACAGCTCGTAATGAATACGAAATAACAGGACATTATTCGCAAACACTTTCAGCTTCCCAGCGAAGAGGAAAATGTCTTACGAAGTATGAAAGTCTTTGGTGACCTAAGTGTAGCAACAGCCTCCCAAAATAACATTATTAGCAACAAAAAACGTGTATTGCTGTTTAGACATGTATTACTCAGAACACTGTTCTCCCCTTATTACTGTAGTGCGTCTAATATTATTCACAGCAGAGCACATCATCTTAAATCCTTCAATAAATGTGTTGTATTCATTAACTTATAATTTGTTATGTTCGTCAAAAAAGAAAAGAACTGCACGGGCTTTAGTTTTAGTGAAAAATACTGCAAAAGGACAATAGTGATTAGTACAGTGACATTTACGATGAAGTTGTTGTAGTTAACTGTACCAAAATGAATGGGGCACACTTTCGTCCCACACTGGCGGCTGGTTATAGAGGAATCTATTTGCAGCATGACGTGTGAAGGACAGCTTCAGTAAGGGAACACAATATGAAACTTGCACGGCACAAATATCCATTTTTGACTGCCTAATATTTAACATATGTTATATTTGGGATTGCACTTTCTTTTTGTTCCATTTTTATTTCAGTACACCAGGGTTCGTACAGCAGTATACAAAATGATATGTTGTATATGACGTGTTCGTACAGTAGCTGACAAGTTCATACAGTTCCTATAAGGTAATTATACCGACGGACAGAGTGCAGTGTGTATTTTAGTAAAGAACATGGTCATACAGTAGTATATAAAGCAAACACTGTATATGGCACAGTAGCATACAAGTTCATACGGTTCATACCGGGTAGTTTTACTAATGGACAGAGTGTAATGTTTGCTTTAATAAAGAACGTGTTAATACAATGCTTTAATAATGGCACATAAGTTCATACAATTCATACAAGGCAGCTATGCACTTCATACAAGGCAGTTGTACTGATGGGCTGTACTGATGGACAGGGGTGTAAATGTTTGCAAACTTACATAGGTTGATAGCAAGTCATAGTTCCAGTATTATTACAATTGTGCATATACATATTCCCGTTAAAATGCTTTTCCAATACAGAGGGAGAAAGCATTCACGAGCAATACAAATTTAGGTGTCAGGGAGTGATATATCAATTTCTAGGAGAAATGATACCGTTGTGCCATTACGAAGTACATTCATGTTACTTTGTAGATACAAAGAGAAGGATTAGTCACATTGAAAAAAAATATCACACATGACAAGTAATCAATAGTTTCAAAAGTTAACTATTAATGGTTAACTGATGAATTTATAGTATTTTTCAAGTGCAAGAGAAGAAGGTCAGATTGTAGCAAACATCTCATAAGACAATCAGAGGCAGCTGGTGTACCAGTGTTTATCAAAAGATCATGCAATAATACTATTACCCAGTACATGGTACAGATATCACGTTATGGTAAATATCATATTCACAAACTGTTTAGTTGCATGATTCTAGTATGCATTGTGACCATATGGGTTATCTGACATGGGCAGGCAAGATTAATCATTTATTGAAGATGATTCACAAAATTTGATTTTTCCACAGCTGAGAGGTTATGTAGCACTATGCAGATATGTTACACATTGTACACATCTGATTTGTAGTGTTAAGATTTTAAGTCACATCAGCAATATTTCAACCATATCGTGACTACAAACAAGTTATGATGTTACAATAAATAAATGTAAATTATATAAACCTGTCAGCGAAGGACAGTAACACAACTAGGTTATCACCGATTTCAATTTGAAACTAGTATTTAACACTAAAACATTTAAACTATAGATGACAATACAGAGTAAAAACAGGCTATAGATTGAAGGTAGATCACCATACTAGGGACCACGGGCACTTACAGTACATGTGCTTCCTGCATGGACCCTAGCTGGATTTAAACCATCCCTTCAGCTGTCAGCAAGTTTAGACAATTTCGCCATAAATTAAAATAACATATTCTACGGTTAGAATCTGATTTGTAAATTGATTATTGGTACCTTTGTGAAGCTCATGTTCAGACCTTTATTTTGTAATTCTCACTTATTGCTGTAATCGTTAGTTTGCAACTCATGTTTTCCTGATTTTAAATAATTTAGTTCTTCGCTCATCAACTTGTACATTTGCTTTAGTTACAAATCGCTGCTAATAATAAAACCGTGAACTTTTACTGCGTTTTCTGTTATTACCATGTTTTTATTTAATGACAGCCTGATCCCAGGTGCAGAGGACGATGTTGATGCCAATTGGTGTTGACTGGATATTAGCTTTCTCTAAATAATTACAAGATCGACTCCAAGGGGTTAGACAGTTAATCGTCGCTGAATTCAAAGCAAATGCCAAGGCAGCTGTAGTATCTTGCAGTGATCAGTAATAGCACACAAACTTAATCAAATTTAGGATGTTACTAGAAACAAATTTAAATGTGAATATTTGCGTTCCTTTTTTCTATGTTGTTGTCGAAAGGTATGTTACAAAAATCGCACCACCCAACACTCTCTTTACCAAAGGCAATTGTACAATGACAATGGATGTTGCTTATTAGTTTAAGTTTCACCTTGAACTGCAATGTTCATTGTATGTTTTGCGATACAGAAATTGAATAATAAAAGTGAAGCACATAAATATGGTTGTGTTGTAACTCATACCTACCTATATTGTATATCAGTTGATGTTTGTTAAAAATCCCAGGTAAAATAGAATCCAGTGTCTGGTTAAAGAGAAAGGTAATCTGTTTGCAGCAAGAAGGAAGACCATGTGTGTATAGTCTGTTTGGCTTATCCTCTCTTTGTACACCTGGCTTATCTTCTCTTTGCACTCTTTCCTCGTAACAAATAGCGAACTGTGTCAACATTTTAATGATAGTTTGTTAAACAACATTTTATTTTCATGAGAGAAATTCTGCAAAAATCTCACAGAGTTATTCTGATGTTTTGATTATGATCAGCGTATCATTGAGTATTATATGTTTATCAGTTTTCCAGTTAGATTGCAATTCATCGGTCCGCTTCTGAGCCAACCGGACTATAACGAACGATTCAGAATCTTGTGCTGCACAATATCCATTTTCGACTACCTGAATGTGCGTTTACCCGTAGGATTCGAAAAGAAAGAACACAGAACGTCAAACCCGGCACTTACACTACGCGTGCAGCTTCTAATTATCCACTTGCCGTGAAAACTTTGGTCAATATATGATAACATTTATAGAGAAAGGCTTTGGGACGTGCAGGCGTCTTTGAACGTTTAAACCGAAACATGCCTTATGGTCTGCACGTGCCACAAGCAAACGACAAGGACTACATATTCGTAACGTGATTCCTTAAAATCGAACACAAAATCGAAATGCTGGTCCTGTGAGAATTTTGCAGAGTCACGAGTCACGATTTATTTTGCATATAATAATAACAATGGATATTTTTAGCGCGCCATTTTCCACCCACTGATACATGCTCAAGGCGCTACAAAAAAGCATACATACAATGCATACAGAGGATAAAATAGCAAAATAAGTATACATTGAAATTGATGACAGAAAGATGTATTTTAGGGATAGGCTTTGGAAAAAAAGAAAGTTTTCAACTTAATTTTGAAAGTTTCCAATGTGGGAGACTGCTTTATGTGGAGAGGGAGAGAATTCCACAGCGTGGGACCAGCGTACTGGAAAGACCTCTTGCCAAAAGAAGAAAGGAGAACTTTGGGAACGGAGAGAAGACATTGGTCTTGAGATCTGAGAGTTCTGGTAGGGGAGTACACAGTGAGGAGTTCAGAGAGATATGAAGGAGCTTGATTATGCAAACATTTATACACAATGCAAAGAAGTTTGAAGTCAATCCGGTACTTGATTGATATTTATTTATGATGGGGATGTCGTGTCTGGCGACGTTGAAATGAATATCAAGCTAATGATAACCCAAAACCCAGTGACAGATTTGGCGTTAGGTCGGTCATGTGTGGGGTGTCATCACTTGAACTCTGCAAAGCCCAATCCTTATTGTGCAACTAGGGTTCACTGGCCACTCGTTGTTGTGTGTGGATCGACGTTTTGTCCTTCATGACGTGCTCACCGTGGACAAATCGACAATGATCACTACGATTATATCATCCACAGAGGAATGAGTTCAGAGCGTTCTAAATTTGACTTTCACTAAAATAAACATTGAATATCGCACGGTAACAACATATTGATAAAATTTTTCCGAAATCCTAAATTTGGCATTGTAGTAATTATAATGGTAAAACAATGGCCGATTCTGCTGCTATGGCAGCACTCACCAAGTCTGCGACACAACTTCTCATACATTACACCGGTAATTTGCTGTAGCATCAGATACACAAGTAATTAAACCAACTATTTGTAACACTACACGTGTTTTCAGTCCAGATGTAAAGAAGTAATTATTTCAAATTTTCATCTATGTTGGATCATATTAATGATACTATTCTCATAAAACTGCTCTCATTTGATATTGCTTTTCAAAGGGGATTGAATTAACTGATACATTTTGAAGTACAGGGTATTTTATTTTGTATAATTGATAATACGATAATGAAGTAAGATTGATAGTTGTTTTCTTAGTTGGGGGTGAGGATATGTGAGCCCAAGCCATTACACAATATGGTTATTTAACCCCGTTGTTAATCATAGCACCGTTGTAAAGTGGCTACATGTCCGTACAATCAGACAGACAGACAGTTTATTTGCGTAATATCGGCCTAGTGGCCTATAATACAGTTATACAGTTGTATAAATCGATGTACAGTGGTCAAATGGATCCAGGTCTTGTTTGGAATACATTGTGCAGAAATAGAGCAGTGAAATATATTACCTGACTGTTTCTTGATTTGAAAATAGATTCTAAAGTTAGTGGACCTTTATACACTTTTCGAAGTTGTACCAAATACTTTTTCTCGCCAACATTCGTAATATTTACATTAAAAAAAGACATGATTCTCGTCTTCAACCTCCAATGCATTACATACAGTGCACAATTATCCTGTTATGGGGATATCTTTTTTACATCTAAATTTGTTTATCTTCAGATTGTTATGGGAAATTCGAAATTTCCAGTACGCACGTATTAAGTATTTGTTTTTCAATTCAGTGATGTACGGTTCCAAGTGAAGGTCATATTTAAATTGTGAATAGTGGATGAGAATAGTTGAGCTGCAAATATCATTATGCCAAGTCTGGTAGGCTATATCTTTGATGCGTTGTTCGAAGGTTAAGATGAATAGCTGCACATCGCCAACACCTTGGTTTAACCATACATGTGAAAATCCGTTTTTGAATAAAATAGATCTCACACTTAATTTTGCCCATATCATCAAAAGTTTTAAGCATCTTATAACACTGTATGCGATAACGTTGTTGATTCATGTGTAACAGTGTGAACCAAAACTTAATTACTTTGATCTGGCTGAAAACATACATTGGATAACGTTCAAGTTCACCGAAGATAGCCTTGTTAGAAGCAAATTTTCCAATTTTGAGAAATCTTTTAAAATACGTCATTTGAATCCTTCCAATTGAATCAGAATATTTGTGTCCCCAAATTTCAGCTCTGTAAAGTAGTATTGGTGCTATCTTCCTAATAAAAATAATCCGTGGCATAGAGAATGTAATTTTCTGGTTTTTTCTTAAAGATTCTAAACACTGAAAGACAGGCTTTGTTTGCTAGTTGTGCAAGAGTTTTACACGCCCTTTTCCATATTAATCTTGATGAAAACACGATACCAAGATATTTATAGTAAGTTACAACCTCCATAGGGTGATTACCGAAGAACCATTTCTCCGATTCCGCAAGAATTCCACCTTTTCGAAATACGATGATATTTGACTTTCTTAAATTCAATTCCAGTCCCCAATTTAAACAGAATGACTCCAGGAGCCTTAGACCAATAACACTAGTGGCAAAAAGAACGATGTCATCGGCAAACATTAGTAGCAGCAGATCTTGTATATCCTGGGTAACGAACACTCCACTGTTACAAAACATATACAGTTCAGTTGCAAATTCATTAATAAAAAGTATAAAAAAGTACGTGACTTAGGATACATCCTTGTCTTACTCCACGGGAGGTATCAAACGCTACTGTTCTTCAATTACCAACTTTAACACGGGCCTTTACTGATGCGTACATACTTTTAAGCAAGATAAGTAACTTTCCATGACATCCACGTTGCATTAATACATATAATAACTTATCCCTGTCCACAAAGTCAAATGCTTTTTTTAAAGTCAATGAATCCGCAGTAGAAACGACATTTTGTTTTACCAAAATATTTGGAACACAAAGCCTGTAGGGTAAATAAATGATCTGTAGTAGAATATTGGGGACGAAATCCTGAATCGGTAGCAACTGAAGGAATGGTATAAATCCTATTGGGGAACCGTGCAGGACGAACAAGGATTGTAAGTCCTCACTGTCCCTGGTAGGGTGGCCCAACTATGGTCGCTAACGAACTCTGACCCTTTTATATATTGTGCTGTTAATTGACTAAGTGCATTCATTTACAGACACTCACTTATTTTGGTCTAATATATGATGATCTAGTTATTACACAGTCCTTCGATACACTGTAAAATAGGTTGAAGTCACATCGGCAATATTTCAGCCATATCGTGACTAAAACTAGTAATGGATGTATACAGATATATAAAACCCTGTCAACGAAGGACAGTGAAATTACTAGATATCACAAAATAAGTTAAAACTAACATACATCTTTAAAAGTGTAAAAACCTTTTTTGGACAATACAGTGTAAACAATGGGCGATTTATCGCCAGTATCTGAAGGAAGATCACCATACTAGGGACCATGGGGACTTATAGTACATTTGCTTTCTGCATGGCCCCCAGCTGGATTTATATCATCCCTTCAGCCGCTGGCGATTGTAGTCGAATTTAGCCATAAATTAAAATCACGAAAATATTACGTTTAAAGAATCTGGTTACGTACCCTTCACGAAAATGTATTATATCTTAAAGCCGCATTATTGTCTTTGAATGTACAATGCAAATGATGCTATCCGTAGCACTGATATCAAAGAACGTGCTTTCAGAAACTGCACGACCGGCAAATCACAGCTGCGAATCTTAATCATTTAGGATAACAACTAGTACTAGTATTACTGAATGACAATTTAAGACATATAATACAAAAGGAAGATGAAACGCATCAATTACAGTATGATTTGGCTATCACGCGTTCGTTGAGGCCGAGATCATAGTTTCAATTTCCATGTACCTAAGGGAATATTATCCACACTCGCTTACACTGTCATTTGTGTGAGAGCTGTTACATGCGTGACATGTAAAACACACTGGCAAAGCCGCACAAGTGAGGTATACTTACATATTTTGTCAGTAGTTTCATAGAATCTGATCCAATACGTCTAAAATATTTGCTAGTTGGACATGTATTCTTTGCCCACTTTGAAGCTGATAATACTTTGCAGTAAATTATATTAATGCATAATCAACCAATTGTTTACGCCCATTGTAATTCTATCGCCAGTTAAAACCGCAGGCAGAAGGCTTCTTCTTCAGATGACTCATGATTATGTATTCGTATTACTCTGTTCACCGTTTATGTGTACGTATTATTACTTTTCAGAAAAAAATCATGTCACTTTTGGTATTCCTAACGTTTGCCTGTTTGATTCTTTCAACACCAGGTAAGGTAATTTGTCATTAGGTTTCACGAAACAATATATGGGTCCTATTTTTAAAGCCAAAAATGTAACTTAGCAATATTAATTAATTGTTTTACTACTCTGCACGGGCTTACAAGGATTGAACGATTAAGCACCATAGCTAGCAATGTGCTACTGATATTTTCCAGTTTTACCACTAACCACCGTGATGACAAATTTCGAAACCTTCAGTTATCAATATTGATGGTTTGTTTCTACACAGTGTACTGGCTTACTCCATCTATGATTGAAAACCTCTACTGATGTTCTCCTTTTCCCTTGTAATGACAGTTTTTAATGTAGATGAATTGTTTTATATCCTACATGAGAGTATTCCATGTATGATTACATATGCTAAAGGGCTACTGATGCTCTTCTATATTTCAGCTGACCAATGTCACAAAAGCCAGCACTGTTCAAACTGTGATCCGGCATCAGGAAACTGCATCACAGAATGCGAAACTGGATATTACGATCTAAAATGCGAGTCTGGTTGCAGCAAGAATTGCAAAGAGAAGAAATGCAAATTATTAGAAAATACCGGCATTGGATATTGCACAGAAGGTTGTGAACCCGGGTATCACGGTGTAAACTGCAAACTAGTTTGTTCAGTTCCAACACAAAACTGCTCCAAATGTCCAGGTGGATGTGACGGGGAACACTGTACCCAAGGCGATACATGTTTCTCCGACTGTCAAGATTCCTACTACGGCTTAGCTTGCAAGGATTGTTCCAAGAGATGTCAATCGTGCAATAGAATAACAGGAACATGTGACCAGTGCCATTCACATTATCATGGCAAAAACTGTGAGTACTCGTGTAATTACTGTTCGGGATCATGTGTCAGTGAATGTGAACGAGTATGTGCTCCTGGATTATACGGGACTGAATGTGCTGAAATGTGCAGTGCAAACTGTCTTCCTAACCCAGTGTTCTATTCTGAGGGCCAGTGTGTGGAAGAAGATGGAAACATTACAAACGAGTGTACACCAGAGTGCCACAACGAGAGTGGTCAGTGCATTCATGGATGTGTGGCTGGATGGTATGGCCCAATGTGTGAAGTCCAGTGTAACTCCAACTGTTTTAACAAACGATGTGACAACACAAGTGCGTGTGACGAAGGTTGTACAGCTGGTCATTTTGGAAAGGACTGCATACCATGTTCTGACATCTGCGCTAGTTACACTTGCAAATCAAACAACGGGTCTTGTTTGCACAACTGCAGCAGTGAGGTGTATGGACAATTCTGTAATATCACCAGTAAGACATGTATTGAGGACGTGTGTGCTCAGATTACTGACAAATGTATCATAGAATGCTCCATCACTGAGGAAGGATGTACGCGTAATTGTTCAACAGACATTCCAACAACCGAGTGCAGTGACGAATCTTGTGTCACAGGTAAATCATTTTAAAAGAAACCATTTTTGGTTTGTAATGCTTCCTGGGATAAACGACAATCCAAAATAGGTGGACGTTTGATTTCAAATATATATGGGTTAAAATCAAAGCATTTCATTTTGAAAAATCACGTTTAAATCCTTAAAAGTGTATATACTGACAACATTGAGGATATATATGGAACACTAATGTTACCTGAATATAAAATGGTGGTTCTTTGTCTGAAACAAAAACTGTATGGGACATTATGAGCCATTTCAGTAAATTATTATCCAACAATCAGACAGAATACAAAAATTTATACTTAATTTGAGGTACAATGATCGTCTTGACATTAGGATTGGTACAAATGTTTTGGTTGGTACACAAAAGATTGCAAATCCCGAGTAACAGACATCAGCATCAATGAGTGAGATGTTAACGACGACAAAAACGTAACTAATTTAATTTAATTTTGATTAGTGCTAAAGAACATTGTAATATTCTTAAGAGATACGTGTAAAATACAGTCACAAAAATATATGACCGAAAGGCTCTTGAAACATTCAGGGTTTAAGATCAAAGCAATTCAACGTATATTTTGCTAAAGAACATTGCAATACTCCTGACAGTTATGCGCGCACGACAATGACAAGATGAAACTACAAAATATAGTTTTCCTTGTATGTTAACTAGGTTTACCGAGAGTTATAACATGGTGTTTTTTTACATAGATTCAGTTATATGCGTTCTGTGACGATTAACAGTATATATTGTACATACAGTACAACCAGAAACAATTGAGAATTTAAAGATTGTAAATTTATTTCACTCATTACTCACGTATTAAATGTGAATATTAGCAGAACATAACTCCAGATTCAAAGACAGGTGAACATTTAGTATTTTGTCAAGTCACCATGGGCAGCAATGCAGGCTTCAATGCGGCGGGGTATACTACTGATCCAAGAATTTAGAAAGTCGTGGTCCATGCTGTCCCAATATCGGACCACCTCTTCTTTCCTTTCAGCAATATTTGTCAGAACTTTCTTATTGACACTTTCCTTCATAAGTCCCCAAACATTTTCTATTGGATTTAGGTCAGGGCTATAGCTTAGCCAATCTAATAATGTCATATTTTGGGTCCGAAACTAAAGGTTTTTCCGTTTGTTTGGTCCAGAATTTCAGTGTATTAGGAAACAGCCACAAAGAACTTTCATCTGAGAAAATCACATTGTCCCAGTTAAAATTTCTATGCTGAAAGCACCAGTTCAACCTTTGCTCGTTTTGTTCAGGTTTCATGATCGGTGATGGCATTCCTCGACTTTTCTGCAACCCATTGCATGCAGCTCAGTTCTAATTGTCTCCTTACAGACAGCCACAGTTCCTCTATCAATCATATCCAGCCTTAAGTTTTCTAAACTCCTTCGTTTGTTTTTAGAAACAAGAATACCAAGCCGCCTCCTGTCACTGACAGTCAATTTTCTGGGCCTTCTTGAGCCTCCCTGGTGCTCAATGCCATATCCATTTGCAATATTTTTCAAAACACGATAAACAGTGGACAAAGTGATGCCTGTTCTACCGGTACTTCAAATCACTTTAGCTGATCTGATGTCCTTGTTATAATACTCTAAAATCAACTTCCTCTTCTCTAAATCATCCATACTGAGGATCACTGAAAATGTCGTCTGCTAGCAAGTAAACAAAGGGGGATAACTCTTCACAAACTAATGAAAAAGGATTAAAGGAGTTGTCTCTCTTGAATGAAACCAAGCACTTGATAGCTGGTCAAGGTTGTTATACTAGAAATCCAATTAAACATATTCCTAAAATTCTCAATAATGTCTGGTCATACTATACATGATAAATCATTGAAAATTCATTATGCTCTTTAACAGAACCCTACGGTAAAATTGTGAAGATAATATTTCTTATAGTATCTTTTCAATTGCCTCTCAAGACAACATGTATGCAGTCCTTAATCACACCACCTCGTTATTCACTCCTAACATTACAAAGGGATACCATTATAAAACACGACCAGATTGTTTGATACTTAGGAATGTTTCTAGATATAATTTGCATTGACATTTTTTTTTCAGCTGACTCAGGTAAATCGGCGAGTGGCATAATCCTGTACGCAATATCACTGATAGCAGCACTGTTTGTGGCAGTAGCAGGATGTTGCATCTGTTACCGCAGGGGTCTCTCTACGACGAGGTCAGTGTGTGCATGTGGCACGTGTAATTAGGAAATATAGCAGATTATTCCGCAATGAACGTATATGGCCTACAAGTGTAACATTGTATCCAAGCATACTCACAGTTTGCCATTGTAAATGAGTGTTATTGAATGAGTGAGTGAGTTAAGATATTAAGTCGCATCGGCAATATTTCAACCATATCGTGACAAAAACAAGGTATAGATTTATAATGATTAAAAATTAAATTATAAACACCTGTCAACGAAGGACAGTTAAACAACTAGATTAGCACAAATATATATTTAAAACTAGCAAGTAAATCTAAAACAGCTTAACTATAGAGGACGATACAACTGAGTGTTATGGAAACCTATCAACTGGGGAATCTGAAATCCAAAAATAACGTCGATGCATTTGTTTACCTGATGACTATATCGTTCTACTATTCAGGAATAATCAGCAGGGTGAGAGTGAACATGGAGCAGAAACACCACAGGAAGAAAGAGGAGAGTACGAGGCCTTACATCGGTATTGTGAAATTAGAGAAACAGACATGGACATGGAGTCTGAGACATCCAACAGCCAAGAAATCGGGCAAGAGATGGCCGCCGCCTTTCCTGTTTTAGCGGTTTGTTCTTTCCAAACAAGAGGCACTGGTCTTGCTGACGGATATGAAAACATAACAGGAATTTCGTCTGGAGCAACAGAAACGCACACAGCTATAGATGCACAATCGCCAGTTGCTGATGATTAGATTTTAACCTGATTGTAGTGAGTCGGTGAGTTGGTATAGTCGTACGCTGATTTTAGCAATGTTTAAGAAATATCACGGCGGGGACAGTAGAAATGGGTTTCACAGATTTTACCCATGTGGGGAATCGACCCACCGTGACGAGTGGGCGCTTTAACCATTAGTTTACACTCACCACCCCTAACCTTATTGTAAGCAGTAACAAGATCAATAGAATGTATGACATTGGACTCTTATTCGTCCCTGAATTTACATATCAATTGTTAAAGGTGTTTGTCTATTTTGATCAGGACCATATAGCTTCGTTGTAGGGGATTGCCAGACTTGAAATCTAACTACATTTAGGACTTTGTCAGAATTCCTTTGTAATCGTTTTAATGTTTATACATTTTCCCATATAGCATCATGCTGTCAAAGTTATACTATCATCGATAAATATTTGTAAATGAGCACATTTGGAACATCACACGGTGCTTTGGGGGAACTGCAAGGGTCACGTTTGGAGAATATCACCGGGTAACAAAAAAAGCCCTTCATCATCCTGTGGTTCCTTAGTATGGTGATCAACCTTCAGTTGCTGCTGATCTATAGTCCGTTCTTATATTGTACTATTCTCTCGTGATATATTTTTATGATAGCGTACTAGTTTTAAATGAAGAGCTGTGATATTCGATGTCCTTCAATGACAGGTTTTTCCGTTGTACATTTATTGATTTGAATATTGCTATAAACTGTTCTCGTCACGATATGGCTGCAATATTGCCGATGTGACGTTAAGTTTTCACTCACTCACTCATCATCCTGTGGTCGTAGGACCATCCATATTCATGGCTGACCGAAAATTAGCACAGCTTGACATCGTGACAATCATTTGGGATAAGAGATTTTGCTGTGCATAGATTTTATTCACAAACTGTTTAATCGCATGATTCTATTATGCATTGTGATCATATGGGTTATCTGACATGGGCAGGCAAGATTAATCATGTATCGAAGATGATTTACAAAATTTGATTTTTACACAGCTGAGAGGTTATGTAGTACTATGCAGATATTTTACACATTGTACACATCTGATTTGTGGGATTAAGATTTTAAGCCACATCAGCAATATTTCAGCCATATCGTGACTACAAACAAGTTATAATTTTACAATAAATAAAGGTAAATTATAAAAACCTGTCAGCGAAGAACAGTAAAACAACTAGGTTATCACAGATTTCAAATTAAAACTAGTAATTAACACTAAAACATTTGAACTATACATGGCAATACAGTGTAAAAACAGGCTATAGATTGAAGGTAGATCACCATACTAGGGACCGCGGGCACTTACAGTGCATTTGCTTCCTGCATGGACCCTAGCTGGATTTACACCATCCCTTCAGCTGTCAGCAAGTTTAGACAATTTAGCCATAAATTAAAATAACATATTCTACGGTTAGAATCTGATTTGTAAATTGATTATTGGTACCTTTGTGAAGCTCATGTTCAGACCTTTATTTTGTAATTCTCACTTATTGCTGTAATCGTTAGTTTGCAACTCATGTTTTCCTGATTTTAAATAATTTAGTTCTTCGCTCATCAACTTGTACATTTGCTTAGTTACAAATCGCTGCTAATAATAAAACCGTGAACTTTTACTGCGTTTTCTGTTATTCCCATGTTTTTATTTAATGACAGCCTGATCCCAGGTGCAGAGGACGATGTTGATGCCAATTGGTGTTGACTGGATATTAGCTTTCTCTAAATAATTACAAGATCGACTCCAAGGGGTTAGACAGTTAATCGTCGCTGAATTCAAAGCAAATGCCAAGGCAGCTGTAATATCTTGCAGTGATCAGTAATAGCACACAAACTTAATCAAATTTAGGATGTTATTAGAAACATGTTTAAATGTGAATATATTTTTTCTACATTTCTATGTTGTTGTCGAAAGGTATGTTTCAAAAACGCACCGCCCAACACTCTCTTTACAAAAGGCAATTTTACAATGACAATGGATGTTGCGTATTAGTTTAAGTATCACCTTGAACTGCAATGTTCATTGTAAGATTTGCGATACAGAAATTGAATAATAAAAGTGAAGCACATAATTATGGTTGTGTTGTAACTCATACCTACCTATATTGTATATCAGTTGATGTTTGTTAAAAATCCCAGGTAAAATAGAATCCAGTGTCTGGTTAAAGAGAAAGGTAATCTGTTTGCAGCAAGAAGGAAGACCATGTGTGTATAGTCCGTTTGGCTTATCCTCTCTTTGTACACCTGGCTTATCTTCTCTTTGCACTCCTTCCTCGTAACAAATAGTGAACTAAATTCTGCAAAAAACCTCACAGAGTGGGTCTGATGTTTTGACTGTGATCAGCGTTTCATTGAGTATTATATGTTTATCAGTTTTGCAGTTAAATTGCAATTCATTGGTCCGCTTCTGAGCCAACCGGACTATAACGAACGATTCAGAATCTTGTACTGCAAAATATCCATTTTCGACTACCTGAGTGTGCGTTTACCCGTAGGATTCGAAAAGTAAGAACACAGAACGTCAAACCCAGCACTTACACTACGCGTGCAGCTTCTAATTATCCACTTGCCTTGAAAACTTTGGTCATAATGTGATAACATTTATAGAGAAAGGCTGTGGGACGTGCAGGCGTCTTTGAAAGTTTATACCGAAACATGCCTTATGGTTTGCACGTGCCACAAGCAAACGACAAGGACTCCCCTTGAAATCGAACACAAAATCGAAATGCTGGTCTTGTGAGAATTTGTGAGAGTCACGAGTCATGATTTATTTTGCATATTTATGATGGGGATATCGTGTCTGGCGACGTTGAAATGAATATCAAGCTAATGATAAACCAAAACCCAGTGACAGATTTGGCGGTGGGTCGGTCATGTGTGGGGTGTCATCACTTGAACTCTGCAAAGCCCAATCCTTATTGTGCAACTAGGGTTCACTGGCCACTCGTTGTTGTGTGCGGATCGACGTTTTGTCCTTCATGACGTGCTCACCGTGGACAAATCGACAATGATCACTAAGATTATATCATCCACAGAGGAATGAGTCGAGAGCGTTTTAAATTTGATTTCCAATAATATAAACATTGAATATCTTACGGTAACAGGATATTGACAAAATTCTTCCGAAATCCTAAATTTGGCATAGTAGTAATTACAATGGTAAAACAATGGCCCATTCTGTTGCTATGGCAGCACTCACCAAGTCTGCGACACAACTTCTCATACATTACACCGGTAATTTGCTGAAACATCAGATATCTAATCGAAAGAAACAGGCGCATGTAGGTATCAAAAAGACACAGGTAATTACTCAAGTAATTAAACCAACTATTTGTAACACTACACGTGTTTTCAGTCCAGATGTAAAGAAGTAATTATTTCAAATTTTCATCTATGTTTGATCATGTTAATAATACTATTCTCATATTCTCATAATACTGCTCTAATTTAATATTGCTTTTTAAAGGGGATTGAATTAACTGATACATTTTGAAGTACAGGGTATTGTATTTTGTATAATTGATAATACAATAATGAAGTAAGATTGATAGTTGTTTTCTTAGTTGGGGATGAGGATATGTGAGCCCACGCCATTGCACAATATGTATCTTTAACCCCGTTGTTAATCATACCACAGTTGTAAAGTGGCTACATGTCCGTACAATCGGTAGCAACTGAAGGAATGGTATAACTCCGATTGGGGAACCGTGCAGGACGAAGAAGAATTGTAAGTCTTCACTGTCCCTTGTATGGTGGCCCAACTATGGTCGCTAACGAACTCTGACCCCTTTTTATATTGTGCTGTTGATTGACTAAGTGTATTCATTTACATACTCTCACATATATTTTGGTCTAATATATGATAACCTAGTTATAACACAGTCCTTCGATACACTCTTAAATGGTTAACCAACACATTTATGCTGAAAACAATATAACCAATACTTTTTTCAATCCATAAGTTGTTACACATCTACATCTCACATTATACTTCTATGTGATTACATCATGTACATACGTGACTTTGATAAACACAGTATCGCCACTGTGAACGAGTGCATTAACCTAGTCAGGCGTGAACCTGCAACAAACTGTCATGCAGTCACCTCTTATGACTGTCGTTACTTATCTGTTTAGAAAAGATTAAACCTCAAAAACTAACATCTGACAGGGAATATATGGATTCAGTAGATCAAGGAACTAATTTGCCAAGAACTGTCTTAAAAACCTAAGAATGCATATGTGTTGTGTTCTATTATTCAATATTAAATCCGACAGACGCTTAGAATAGTATTGAATTTAAACCAGAACCTTGTAAACAAATTACAATGACCAAAACAAACAAAACAAGTTGCGTTTTGAAGAAAGCAAAATACTCACTAATTAACACGTTTACATCTTTCACTATTATGTTTGGTTCAAATGCTTTTAGCTCCCCTCCTGAGTTTGTTGACACCGTTGGAATCCCATGGAATAAGCTCGTGCGGCTATTTAGGTTCTCCCTCACATTATTGTGACGACGTTTCCAGCACATTTTCTGAATTTGGGGGCTTGGAGATATACAAATGAATAACTAACACCATGATAAGGTGTGAAATACTTGTATCATCCAAAACTGTGTTCCACGTGAGATATCGCTTGTGTTAGATCATATGATATCTCATAGGATATATCGTTTTGACGGTAGATTTTGTACAAGGCCCTGACAATGCTATGACGTCAGAACTAATGGTAGTACAGTGTTGAGAGATGTACATTTTTCATTGAAAAACTTATGAAGGCATTTTACAGAACTATTGGAAAGACATTAAAGGCGTTTGCTGCCTCGTGACAAAAGTCGATCGTCTCTGAGGCTCGTCCAGCGTAAAAAAACAATTACGTCAGTGCAAAAAAATAACAATCTTGCCTATCATAAGAAGTAGATTCATTAAAATGCAAAATAATTGAAAATCAGTGATTGAACCAGGTGTTCACGAAAATGTGAGTGAGTGAGTTAAGATTTGAAATCACATCGGCAATGTTTTAGCCATATCGTGACTAAAACTAGTTATGAATGTTTACAGACATATGATATATAAAACCCTGTCAACGAAGGACAGTGAAATTACTAGATTATCACAAAATGAGTTAAAACTAACATACATCTTTAAAAGTAGATAACCATACTAGGGACCATGGGGACTTACAGTACATTTGCTTCTTGCATGGCCCCTAGGTGGATTTATATTATCCCTTCAGACGCTGGCGATTGTAGTCGAATTTAGCCATAAATTAAAATCACGAAAATACTACGTTTAAAGAATCTGGTTACGTACCCTTCATGCAAATGTATTATATCTTGAAGCGGCATTACTGTCTTTGAATGTACAATGCAAATGATTTTCAATTGATGCTATTTGTAGCACTGATATCAAAGAACGTGCTTTCAGAAACTGCACGATCGGCAAATCACAGCTGCGAATCTTAATCATTTAGGACAACAACTAGTACTAGTATTACTGAATGACAATTTAAGACATACAAAAGGAAGATGAAACGCATCAATTATAGTATGATTTGGCTATCACGCGTTCGTTGAGGCCGAGATCATAGTTTCAATTTCCATGTATCTCAGGGAATATTTTCCACATTCGCCTACACTTGTGTGAGAGCTGTTACATGCGTGACATGTAAAACACACTGGCAAAGCCGCACAAGTGAGGTATACTTACATATTTTGTCAGTAGTTTCATAGAATCTGATCCAATACGTCTAAAATATTTGCTAGTTGGACATGTAATCTTTGCCCACTTTGAAGCTGATAATACTTTGCAGTAAATTATATTAATGCATAATCTACCAATTGTTTACGCACACTGTAATTCTATCGCCAGTAAAAATGCAGGCAGAAGGCTTCTTCTTCTGATGACTCATGATTATGTATTACTCTGTTCACCGTTTATGTGTACGTATTATTATTTTTCAGAAAAAAATCATGTCATTTTTGGTATTCCTAACGTTTGCCTGTTTGATTCTTTCAACACCAGGTAAGGTAATTTGTCAAATAGTTTCACGTAACAATATATGGGTCCTATTTTTAAAACCAAAAATGTAACTTAGCATTACTAATTATTTGTTTTACTACTAGCACCATAGCTAGCAATGTGCTACTGATATTTTCCAGTTTTACCACTAACCACCGTGATGACAAATTTCGAAACCTTCAGTTATCAATATTGATGGTTTGTTTCTACACAGTGTTCTGGCTTACTCCATCTATGATTGAAAAGGGCTACTGAGGTTCTCCTTTTCCCTTGTAATGACAGTTTTTAATGTAGATGAATTGTTTTATATCCTACATGAGAATATTCCATGTATGATTAAATATGCTAAAGGGCTACTGATGCTCTTCTATATTTCAGCTGACCAATGTCACAAAAGCCAACACTGTTCAAACTGTGATCCGGCATCAGGAAACTGCATCACAGAATGCGAAACTGGATATTACGATCTAAAATGCGAGTCTGGTTGCAGCAAGAATTGCAAAGAGAAGAAATGCAAATTATTAGAAAATACCGGCATTGGATATTGCACAGAAGGTTGTGAACCCGGGTATCACGGTGTAAACTGCAAACTAGTTTGTTCAGTTCCAACACAAAACTGCTCCAAATGTCCAGGTGGATGTGACGGGGAACACTGTACCCAAGGCGATACATGTTTCTCCGACTGTCAAGATTCCTACTACGGCTTAGCTTGCAAGGATTGTTCCAAGAGATGTCAATCGTGCAATAGAATAACAGGAACATGTGACCAGTGCCATTCACATTATCATGGCAAAAACTGTGAGTACTCGTGTAATTACTGTTCGGGATCATGTGTCAGTGAATGTGAACGAGTATGTGCTCCTGGATTATACGGGACTGAATGTGCTGAAATGTGCAGTGCAAACTGTCTTCCTAACCCAGTGTTCTATTCTGAGGGCCAGTGTGTGGAAGAAGATGGAAACATTACAAACGAGTGTACACCAGAGTGCCACAACGAGAGTGGTCAGTGCATTCATGGATGTGTGGCTGGATGGTATGGCCCAATGTGTGAAGTCCAGTGTAACTCCAACTGTTTTAACAAACGATGTGACAACACAAGTGCGTGTGACGAAGGTTGTACAGCTGGTCATTTTGGAAAGGACTGCATACCATGTTCTGACATCTGCGCTAGTTACACTTGCAAATCAAACAACGGGTCTTGTTTACACAACTGCAGCAGCGAGGTGTTTGAACAATTCTGTAATATCACCAGTAAGACATGTATTGAGGACGTGTGTGCTCAGATTACTGACAAATGTATCATAGAATGCTCCATCACTGAGGAAGGATGTACGCGTAATTGTTCAACAGACATTCCATCAACCGACTGCAGTGACGAATCTTGTGTCACAGGTAAATCATTTGAAAAGCAACCATTTTCGGTTTCATTTTGCAACATTGTCAGACTTCCCCGAGTAAACGACAATCCAAGATGAAAATGCATAGATGGGTTTACTTTTAATTTCAACCATACTGAGGTTGAAATCAAAGTCTCTCTTTTTGAGAATCATGTTTGAATCGATGGATTTGTACAGATTTATTGCAGTGGGGATATTTACGGAATATTAATGTTACCGAATATATAATCACGGTTCTTTAAATTAAACAAACCGGAACGGGAAATTGTAAGCAATTTCAGTATTTTAATGGAACCATTAGATAATGCAAGAGAAACTTAATTTGAGATATTATGTAAATTGCTTAATGAGAATATTGGGACAAATCTATCATGTCGTGATATCTTGCTTACATGATACAATGATCGTCTTGAATTTAGGATTGATCAAGGGGTTTGGTTGAACACTTTTGATACATTATATTGCGATATTGTGTCCTGATACTAGCAGAACTGAGCATTTATTACTGACATTTTAACGCCACAAAAGTTCACATTGCCTCCATATACATGGCGAAAGTTGACTATTGTGTTTCACTTGTCATTTTCAGTCTTACAATGACAACTGAAAATGTATGAACATGACATTACACCATATTTTATTACTGCAACTGTTCCCTGCCGATAATAGTCCATTGTAAAATAATACCAGTAAATTCACAATTCACAAATCACTATATATTGTCCGTATTTACAAGAAAATAAAAAAAGAGACGCGTTTTATATAATCTTATATGCCGTTTCGACGCAGAAACATGTGTCAGCATGCCACAAAAAAATCTTCCATGTTGTTTATTAGTAGTATGGTTGATATACATGGATACCCTTCCCCGTTACTTAAATATAAATAGTGATAATTTATGTAGCAATGGTATTCATGCTGATTATTTTGTTATCACAGTGAAAAAATGTCGTTATAGTGTAAATGAGGATGACGAAACATGCTTTCCTGAATATGATAAATATTTACGCAGCTGCATGATGTATACTATTTAATAAATATAACTTAAAGGATATCGCGTATCTTTACAAAATCACTACAAATGAAACTACCTCAATGTTTGCGTAAAGGTGATACATTTGTAAGTGCTTTAATTATGTTCATCTGTTTTCAATATTCTATAGGTATAATTTTGTATTGAGTAGTTTTGCAAGAAAGGTTATTATGGCCCAAGCATCTTACAAATGTCAGGAAGCAGCAGATTCCACTCCAAAATCACTAGAGCAGTTTTTCAACACATGCCAAGGCAAGATGTTTGGCCTTCCACAAAGGTGGGACAAAATCTATAACATGATACACCATCACTCCAGCAGACAAGGTCGCTTCTGCACTGAAGGAAATCTTACAGAGCCCGTCCAAATGCACTTTCAGCCCCCACTTGTACTTACCCCCACCATCATCTAAAGAGGTACATCAGGAAATAAAATCTGCCTCGGAATCTTATTGACATCCCAAACAGACCTCTTTGTTTATTGATTGTTGGATGATCAAGAGGCGGGGCCCGCAGATCAAAGAAGGCTCCACGGTGGGCTCCAAAAGTTCGAGTTTCTAATGCCATTTTGTCTCTGGAATCGCAAGTCAACCATCTTTTACAAGAACTGTCACTATTATCTGCGAACAATCAGTTCCATTAGAAATCTCATCACAACAGAATGTGCTCATTCTTTGGTTCGATCCATTATACTTTCTCGACTCGACTATTGCAACAGTCTGCACTTTGGCATCAGTTCAACTCAGTTTCATAAACTTCAAAAATTACAGAACTCAGCAGCTCGCATCGTCTGGCGCAAGTCCAAGAAAGATCATATCACACCTTCACTGATGTCTCTACACTGGTTGCCTGTCAAATTCCGGATTGACTTCAAAATTCTCTGTATCACTTTCAAAGCTCTACATGGACAAACACCTGAATACCTCTCCAGTCTTCTGTGTCAGTACATCTCAACCGGACCATTACGATCCCAGAATCACCAGCTACTTGTCATTCCTAAAGTTCGACTCTCATCCTATGGGAAAAGATCATTCCAACACGCAGCCCCCAGTCTCTGGAACAACTTGCCCACTCACATCAAGAATGCTGAATCTTTGGACACATTTAAATCGTCTCTAAAACCCACTTTTTTCTTCTTGCCTATTACTAGACTTTCTATGTTCAATTGTCTCTCTGTAAATAGTTTTAACTAATTTTTTTCTCAATAGTATTGTAGCGCCATGAGCATGTATTAGTGCCTGGATGTAGCGCTATATAAATACCGACATTATTGTTATTGTTAATAACACCCGTAATCTTTGTGCCCATAGACCATCTTGGAATCTAAGCTTCAGCCAGACGATATTAACCTGATCACAGAACTTCCATCACTAACAGTGTCAAAACTCCAAACAGGAGGTATGCTGGCCCAAGTACAACAGGTTGCAAAATACCAGCCCTAAGAATCATCATGGGTATTGTAACCTCTTGGAAGACTCTCATCAATATATCCATGATGGAGTATCATGTGGATCTCAAACTACGCCATGTAAGTGCATTAAGGCTCTATCTTCAGGATACTAAGAACCAAGAGCATCATAGCAGACTGTTCTTTCCGTGTTCTGGAAACCATAGATGTATCCAGAAACATGATGGTTTTTTTATGCATCAATCCTGCACACTTACGCAAACCTGACGAAAAAATAGTGCTTGTTTCTACCTCGACTTTACACAGCAGATACACATTTAGAGCCATCATCGAACGGTGTTTTAGTACACCAGATATGGTCTTCGACTCGTACTAAATTAATGTCAAAAAGAAACTTGATAAAACAGATAAATTAAAATTTAATTGTTCAAAAAGGCAGATACTTTCACCTAGTCTTAACCAAGCTAAATCCAATCCTCGAACCCCGCAGAAAAGAAAATCCGTGTAATGACAGGCCAAGAACAGGCAGACCAAAGGCGACCATGCTCCCTGAAGGTCGCTGCCAACACACCCTGCACCTGGGTAATAGATTCAGGCCTGTGATGTCATCGGTGTCGAATGCATTGAATCGTGTCATCAGCCGACATCAAAACAACCAAGAGCCTAAAGACCCAGTAGTATAGGAATGGCGGTACGATATCAGGTCCCTAATAACGATTATTTTGCGAACTGCCGCCCTGACAGAGAAAAAATATGGGTGAATGATGGCGGCCCATCATTCGACGTCCATGCAAAATTATAAGCGAAAAACGTATAAGATATTGTTAGAATTATAACGAAAATGAATCGGGAAGAAAAATAGGAGAGCAGTGTCTTGATGATGTTGACGAAGCGTTAAATGATTTTCCAGTACGGCATATTCAGAAAATGTCACACAGAACAGGACAAACAATGCGCATATTTGGTTGGAGTAAGCGAGTTTTGGTTAAAAACAGAGGGTCATTTGGGCAAAAAACGTCTGGATAGAACGTTAAAAGTGAATTCTCACTTCGCTGTAACATCAGTGATTGGGAGAGACACAATTAAGTGCGTAGTAAGAGACGAAGGTGATTCAAATGCTGGTTTTGAAGTTCCTGTGGAGAAAGATGAAATATTCTGGAATGATAAAGGCGAACCAATAATAACTTACTGTCCAACCACGTTGACGGTCTTACCTAACACCATAAGACAATCGGATTACGATTACGAGTGAATTACGACTTGTAAATCCTCTAGCACGAATATATGAGATAATGCAGATTGGGTTCGTCGTCTTTAATATCGACTCGGTCGATATTGTACATTTTCATCGACCATTTCGGATCGGTAGCACGTTTTCTACGATCTCCCTCGTGTTCACCCGGCTGGTACAAATACCTAAAAATGACTGGGTCTGGTAATTTGTGCGATGTGGTACAGACGATTCGGCAGTAATAGATTTCATTTTGATGGCTTCGACGGGTCTCCTACCAACGAGTCTAGTGACTTCGTTATCCCATTCGGTAGATCGTTTCTCTGGAGTGATCAAATCTTGTGCATATTGATGTTGCACCAACCGCTTGGCTAAGGTGTGGTTGAATCTATCGACTATGGCTTGACTGCGGTGCGCTGCCGCCATGCCTCGTCTGACCTGGACTTTGTGCTTCGCCAGTAGCTGCGACACGGCTTCCATAAACTCGCGTCCAGGATCAACTTGCAGCTCGGCAGGCCAGGTTAAGCGACTGCGTTTGTATATGTGTTCGAGTGCTTTGGCAACTTCGGTCGAATCTTTCGTCATCAATGGTTTGGTCTCTTTGTAGCGACTGGCGACATCCACGACTGTCAGGGCATACTTGTACATTTTACATCTCACCCTATCGTGCGGTTGAAACAAGAGGTCAGCTTGATGCACTTGATTTGGTATCGAAACATCAAATTTTATTCTCGAGATGCACCGGGGCGCCGGCAGGTAGACTTGCCACAAAGCTTGTTTGTTAAGCCATCTTCGGAAACAGTGGTGGCTTTGGGATGGCACCCGCGCCTTTCCAGTATCCTCGTGCACTGTAGTAAATTTTCTCCATGATGTATTGGATTATTTTTTCATGTATGTTTAATACCTTGGTGTCCGTAAGCGTAAGTCGTGACGCCATCGTCGGCAAGAGAGAGCGACGTCTTGTTGATTCTCAGACCGTATATCATGTGCTTGTCGCTTTTCAGCATGTTCATTGAACGTCCGTTTCTCGAAAAGGGCCTCTTTGAATCGATCGTGCCTGATATGTTTTTTCACCACGTATTTTTTTCAAGGCTTTCGCCTTTCTGATATCGTCATTGTTTTCTTTGTTTATCGAACACATTTTGGGTCTCAAGCCGACGTATTTCGACGTATTGTTGACATGGGTGTGCATCGGATGCTCCTTGGGATAGTCGCTCGTGTCTTACAGGTGCATGCGTTTCGCAATGTCCTCGTACACGTCCTCGGTACGAATTTCCATCAGCAGCGAATCTGTGTCCGTGTACAGCACCTCGCATCGATGCCCTACTGTGTTTTGAGTGAGTTGTAATAAAAGTCGCACATCAAGTGTTTGGATAAGTCCAGGATGCTCATTCCCATGTAAACAGGCCGGTTGAATTTGATGTGGCTCTTGTCAATTTACAGTGCCGCCAAGTCGCCAGAGAATATCTTGCTTCGGTTGAATGCCGGGCTAGCTAGCAGTTTCCTGATTTTTTCTTCCTCGTGTGCTCGGACTAACTTCACGTCGACTCGCTTTCGCAAATTTCCCATAGTTTTGCCGAACACCGAGTTGTTTATGAGTTTGTAGAGACGTGTTTCTGACAATATCTCAAAAGCACATGTTCACCTGTTGTGAAGGCGGCAAGCACATAGGGGTAAACATTTCATAATTGGTGTAAACAGTAACCCTTTCTTAATTGTTTTATAAGTACACAGTACAAGAACTAACTTTTCGCGAAATGGAAAGATGTAGACTTTCAGAAAATACACGATGGCAAGTCATTGGTATGCATGACGCAGTGATCTCCTATCTCAACATTAACCACATGGTTTCTTGTCGATCCTAGACTTGGAAGACAGCGGAGATCAATCAAAAGAACTGCAAGGTCATTGGCGGGTGGGAGTGGGACTCTCCACACTACCATCGGATAAGGCTGTGGGCTGCTGATCTGAATAAACGTTGCCGATTCAAACGTCCCTTCCTCACAGACAGATATAGGCACTAACGTCTGCTATTGCAACACTCGTCCAGCCAAGTGGTAGTGTCATCATGGATTTGAATGTTGTAGCAGATTTGGAAGTTAGTGATTCTCATTACGGTATGTCAGACAGAACGAGATCTTGGTATAATGAAAGGGTAGAGAGGAAAGCTTCGTCTCGAACATACACTTGATAATGTGATGGTCAATGACAAAAACTTGAAGACAGTTGAAGACGTAAATAAATACACAAACAACTTAGTGGAGGATACAGACTTGTCTTCGTTCTCACATAATGAGCCGTGATGAAGGTTTGTACTTGTACAGTGACCACTGTATTTCCCGTTAGCCCCAAACGGTTCCATTACCGCTAAAATGATGACTGTTTTTCTTCAAACGGTGCTATTGAAGCATTTACGGTGTTGTTCTGTAAAACAAATATTATTGTGTACGTTTTCATTGACATGTAGATAAAATAATCTGCAAATTAATGTGTCAAAATTAATTGTTTATGTGATGTCCGTTTACGTTCCTTGCAAAGCTGAAATCTCTATGTATGATCCCTACAACGAGTGAAATGATTTTTTTGCAAAAGACATTTTCCGTTTGTTTTAGATGATGACTCGAAGAACAATGTAGTCAGTCTATGGGCTGTTACACTGGCAGCATTATTGTTTGTAGCAGTAGCTGGGTGTTACATTTGCTACAACAAGGGTCTATCCACCTCAAGGTCAGTGTGAAAATTTTGTCTTGATTTTTGGTTTCTTGCAGAGACAGTCATGATCGCTGAGTAACAAATGAGCCTAGACAATTGGGTGTGGTTGTCTTTTATGGGTTCTTTTCAGTAAATGTTCTAAACTGTGTTACCTTAGGGTCAATATATGCTCAAATCTGTTACCTGTACGTTTTAATACCTGATATGACCGCTTCCGACTTCAGCCTTTAGTGCCCACAAATTTACACACTGGATTGAGAGAGAATCTTTGTGCTCAGCACGTATAAATCTCATTTAAATAAGATAAAGTTCAAATTTCAATAATAATAAATAAACAAAAACTCAAAGGATTTGCTTACACAATCCCAGACATGAATCGAGGTCCGTTCTGTCAAAACATTTGATTTTTCAACACTGTATACCACTATCCCACATGACAAACGTATGAGAAAGCTTCATTAGTTGATTCAGACAGACAGACATTTTATTCAGTAATAGGCCACTCGCCCAAAATACATTCATAAATATAATAATAAGTTACATGCGTATTACCAGGGAGACTATATAATGTTGTAAATTATCCCTGGTTTTACATAAAAACATCAGAATCTCTTATTTTCCCAACATTATATTAAAATAGGCAAAAAATATTTATAACATTTATATATGTAAATGCTGGTCTTCCTCATTGATAACATCTTTGTGAAATTTGGGGGTAACTCATTTCGCCAATTATATAGATACATAGGCATCCGCATGTGCTCCCCTCCTAGCGGGACTGTTCCTTTATGCATATGAGTCAGATTTTTTTCTGCTTGGGTTGGCATAATCAAAACAAGGTAATTGTGGACAAGACTTTTAACTTAATCTTCGGGTACATGGATGATTTGATATCGTTCAATAATAATCAAATAGCCAATTCCTTTCCACTGATTTACCCACCTGAACGTGGAATTAAGGAGAAAAGTGAGACCGCCTAAACCGCATTCATATTTTGATCTATGCTTAAAGATTCAAAGTAACAAAAACTATCCAAAAGGCTGTATGACAAAGTAGATGATTTCAACTTTCCAATAGTCAGCTTCCTTTTC